GGTTTGATATACAGTGGCTCCCAAAAGTGTTCGTACACTTACGAATTTCAGTGAAATATTACTTTATTCATTTAATAAAAATAAATATTTGAGAATGAGAATTCTTTACTAATATCTATAAATTTCTCTTAAAAATACATTAGATATTTTATGAACGCAGTAAAACATTTTTTTGGAAAAATCAGTAATCAAAAAGTAGCAGAAAGTTATCCCACAAAAGTATTCGTACACTTTAAAGAAATCTGCACACAATAGTAAATATTGCAGTATTTCTGTTTGTATATTGTAGTATATCATGCATCACTTATTACAGCTTTCAAACGTCTGGACATAGAGTTCACCAGTTTTTTTTAGATCAAAGCGTGTTAGCCCAGAAAGGCTATTAATTTTGTTTTGGCATTTTGCGTCGAATCACTACAAACGGCGTTTCAATTTTCAAATTGTTGCCATCAAGTATTATCACCTTGTATTATATTTAAAGAAATTAAATAATAAAGAATCTGCATAAATGTATGTATGCTTCTCTCATTTTGATAAAATACCGCTACCTGGAGCCATCAAATTTTGAATTACGTAATCTTCCACCCGAATTGGGCATCTGGAAGTTCAAATTTGGAATTTCAAATTCCCTTTATTATCTATTTCATATTTTGTAAAGTTTTAAGGAATTTTTAATTAACAAACTCAACGATTTCAAAGCGAGCAATGGCAACACTGTACCAAAAAAAAATTGTTTTTCCTCCAGCGCGCGAGACTGTGCATCGGAAATTTTAAAGATATGCTGTTTTTAAATTATTTTGTGATATTGCTGTTGAATTGAATTTTATGGTTTAAGTGCGAAGAACGTGATATTTAATAAATAAAGGTAACACACAAAACATTAAAAAGACGCCTTTTTGGGCGTAATATAAAATCTAAGAAGACTTTCAGTTTTTTTTTTTTTTTTTTTTTTTTTTTTTTTTTTTTTTTGTAAAATCTACATCAATGTCCCCCCCCCCCCCATTCTTTCAACATTCCTGTTTTTTGCTCGGCTTGCGTTTTTATGTTGTGTCTTCGTACTCAACCTGTAATTCTCTCCAAATGCGTTCTATCGGGTTTTAACCAAGTGACTGAGGTGAAGTTTTTAAAACTTGCAGATAATTATAGACACACCAAACGAACGTTGAGGGCCATGTGCTTAAGTTCGCTATCCTAATATATATAAAAAAAAAAAAAAAAAAAAAAAAAAAAAAAAAAAACGAATTTTGGGAGGATAATTTTAAATTATTTGTTAAAATACTTAAATAAAAACATGGTTCATTATGCCATCACTAAATACTAAATTACCTAATCCTGATGCTGACATGCACCCCCGCACAAGGACACCTCCACCGCCATTCTTTACTGTACCAATTTCGGTCTATTTAAAATTTTGCGAAGAAAGGAATAAGCTCTCTATTTTTTTGCACTTATAAAAGGTTTGCTTCGAGCAGAGTGCCCATTAATCCAGCTGATCTGAGTACTCGTCGAACAGTTTCAGGTGAAATTAAAGTAGACTCCTTTTCAGTAAAATACGTAGAAATCTTTACAACACTCAAACGTGGATTTTTCACAAATTTTCTAACTATAAATCTCTGATCACGTTGAATTAACTTCTTCTTACTTGATTTTCGATTCAATTTTCTTTTTTAAAGAGTTTTATCATATACTGTTCTATAGAACGAGATAACTTACTAATTTAGCGATATCCCGGATTTATTTTCCACCTTTCTGATGCAAAATGATTAATGTTGGAGTGATGTTTGTTTTTTCCTTATGACTGCGAGAAATTTTGAAGTATTAATTAAATTATAACTAAGTAAGCAAGCAAAGAATAAAGCCAAAAAAGTCATCAAAATGAAAAAAAAAAAAAAAAAGTGTCAGACTACAATTTTATTTATGAAATTTTACGAAAATGTTTCCATGTACAATCACTTTTTTGGCTTGTTTTATAACTCCTTACATTTTCAATTTTAGAAAAAGAAAATAGGTCCGTATTAAAAAAAGAAAAGTTTGGTTTCATTCAAAATCGCATGGAGATGATATGAAAAAATATTGGACTTTATCTTCGAATTCGATTCTGTGTTACAGCGCTTACAGCTCTTTTTCTGCAAATTCTGAAAGTGTCCGAAAACTTTTGGGAGCCACTGTGCATAGAGCACACTACTATTATGAAATTGCATACCACGGATTATTCATCTCTAGATAAATTATAAATAGTCCAGTGATTTTCAAAATGTGGCTGCTATCAATGGGTCAAAAACTTGTTTTCGATTTAATTCACTGTTTCGATATTTAATTTTTTCTTCAAATCGCGAGAAACACTAAACGTTTCCTGTATCTTCTTTCCCCTGTTTACTGCATATCATGGTTTTATTCTTCAGTAATATTGAATAACATATAAAGTGGATTATGAAATAGCCCGCTTTAGGCGATAATATGACAAAGTAGACTGGAGGTTCCCAGCGGGTTCAGTATAGACCACTAGGGAGTCGAAGAAATTATAAAGGGGGGCAGTAATTAAAGGGGTCAACAGCCGAATTTGCTCGCGCAATTGATCAGTATACTGATGATCATTGATTACAAAAAAATATATTATAAAACTGATAATTAATTGTTTACTTATATAAAACTATACCATGTAGAAAGAAAGGAATCATGTAAAAAAAATAGAAGGGGAAATGCACAGTTATTTAATATACTCTTTAAATCTGTAATACTTAAAATATTCGAATATGTTATGCAAATAAAAAGTTTAACTTAGCCAAAAAATGCAAAACTTTCTCAGAAAATATTTGTACATACAATGCAATTTCGAAATTAGATTTTAATTTTTGCTTCCAAGACACTGAAAATTTGAATGTACCAACAGGGCCCCTAGAACTACTGAATTACGATATATTTGATATTGATATTATGATGCAAGAATAATTGGAAGAAAATCTTAAAGCACAAGTCTTATTCAAAACATTCGTGTAGGTTAAATTATGGAATTTAAAAGTCATACGAAAGAAATATCCCATCAAAAGAAAAATTATTACCGAACAACATAATCCCTCTTCTTACCTAGTAGGAGCAGGCTTCAGTCAAGTCAGTCATTTTCAAAGGAAAACAGGAAACGCGTGAAATATTTTTGAACGAAGCCATTTAAGGATTAAGTTAAGCAATTTCATGCCAAATATTTGAAAAATTGGTTACAGGCGAAAATATTGTGGCAAAGTTCTCGCGGACGAACACATTACGGAGAAAACATCGCCTCGAAAATAAAGCATTTCCAAAACATCGTTGTAAAAAATATCGTGGTAAAATATAAAGCACCTTCAAATCACTGCATGACGATAACATTACAGACATATTTTGTTCAGGCTTTAAAAACTGTAAATATATACTCGCATAAAGATTTGGGAGCGCAAGAAGGAATGAGGAATTATAATTGATATTTTTAATTAACTAATAAATTTTTGCTGGAAACGTAAGAAGGAAATTTAAGATTTCAAGAACAAAAAATGAGTAGAAAATCAATGCTACTTATAGCAGTTATCAAAATGTTAAACTTAAATAGTTAATTAATAAAAGTCATTAATTAATTAATCTCTTTTGTAAAATGTTATTGTTAATTTTTCATGTTTAATTAATTTCATGTTTCATTAATTTTTATAACATAATAAAGCTTAGAAAAAGGAAGATAAGCAACTGTAGGAGGTTACCTCTATTAAATCTGTTTAATTAGTTATCAAATTTCAAAATTATTTTCTCTCATCTTTGTTAACGTGATATTTTTCTAGTGAAAATTAAGCCATGTTTTGTTACATTAACTTTTGTATAGCGAACAGTTAAATTTATTATTTAATTCAAAATACGAATTATAAAGTAAAAATATTCTTCATTCCTTCTTGCTCTTCCAAATCGGTATATGAATACACATTTACAAGTTGAAAAACACATGTCTACGATGTTATCGTCATGCCATGGTTTATAGATGCTTTTACTTTTTCCCATGATATTTTCACTGACGGTGTTTTACAACTTCCAGAGTTTTGAACGGTTTTATTTCGTTCGACGATGTTTAGAACTGCTATGCTTCTCCTTGCTTACTTTTCTCCCCCGACATTTTATAAGTTGTTTTCTTGGCAACATTTTCATCCGCATTGTTTTGGTCTATAGCCATAACCGTATTTACAAAATTTCTAATATATATTTACATCGTTTTTATTATTCCCTAACCATAATGAAATTTAGATTTCTGAATAATGCAGCCTAATTCCATATTTAGGAAAAATATTATTTTTATGAATAAGTCGCTTTAAATCGCCTTGTCTTCAACGATGGTATTTTGTACCACGCTGCTTTCAACTTGCATTGTTTTCTCCGCAATGTTTTCGGCGGGTACCAAAAATTTGCATCAAGCACCAAGCTCAACCATTACATTGATTAAAAATCGAACTTGTAAGCAATTAGAATTTGGGATTTTGTTTCTGAAAATATGTTTGCATTTGTCAAATTAATAATGATGATAAGAATATAAAAACCTAAATCTAATAAACATTTTTAAAACTCTTTTTCTTATTCTTATTCTAATTAATATCGACGTTAATCGTTAATTACGTTAATCGTAATATAACTAATTGCACATATATTACGATTATATTACATCGGCAATTTCCTAATCTTTTTCATCAAAGTTGCAAATTCGAAAACAAGATTTGTAAGAGCAACATTTAACTAATTTCTCTTGAGTTATTAAATTGATTTGTTTTCCAATCTCTGACAATTTTATGATGGGCGAACAGAAATATCTCTGTAACAAGATATGATTCGCAAACCGCTTGTTGTGAAGACCTGCTCCGATATAGATACCATAGGTTACCTCTGAAATATGAAGAACAACTGAAATACGATTTTTCCCAAAAAAAATTTTATGAAGTATATTTTTACAAATAAATATATAAGTTTCTTTTTAAAGTACATTTCTAACGAAATACCTGGAATTCCGAATCTTAAAACATAAGGATTCAAAACTTCTGGCAAAATATTAATCTTCATTTTGCCTTCCAGACAAACGGATATGTCCTCCAACTTCTTCACCATGGGTTGAAATATGATGTAAACAACATCATTATCCTGAAATATCAAAATTATTTTCAATCTGAAGTTTAAAAGATATACACGAATAACAATTTTATCTATTTATATTCGCTATTGCATTAGAAAAGGCCCAAAAAGTAGCATTTAATACAGAAGCAATGTTATTAGCTGGAAATTAAATTTTTGGAGGTGTTCTTACATCTTTCTTAAGCTTACAAATAATTTAGAACAGAAGACGCTTACTTTCAAAAAAATGATATAATCATTTTATGCAGCATTTTGATTACTTTTTATTCACATTCAAGTGATTAATTTAATGCGAAAAATGTGACTTTTTCACATGTTATATCTTTCAGAAACATATATTACATGTAATCCTATTTAAAAATTAACAGCATTATAAAACGAATTGATTAATAAAAAAATAAACAAATAATACTTTTTAATTAGATTTTCCGCTTAATATCATATTAGCACAAATTCGAAACGAAAACTTCTAAAATTCAATTTTACTGTATTATTTCTCCATAACAATAATACACTTGATGTCGTTTTCACCTGATATCGTTCTAGAAAACTCTCACCTCATTTCTTTGCAGATCATAAACATTCCTGACTAAACTAATAGGAGCAATTTGAATCCCTGAATTTTGAGCTACTCGGTGATGAATTAGACTGGAGTTTCATGATAATATTAAACAAAGCACAAGCAAAGGATATCCCTTAAACAGAGATGTATTATCTCAGTTTCCTTAGAAATTCCTTTTAAACTTTAAAAAGATGTGCACAGTCTAAACTTAGAAACAGTTTTTAGTAAACATACAGAAACTTGTAAATTTTTTACAAGACAGTCTACGTACAATAGGGTGTTTTACTTACTGAGATATAGTAGATTACCCAAAAGAATGACAACATTTTGCGAAAGAAACGATACTTAATACACCCTATAACAAAATAATCGACGCGCCAAGAAGGAATTATCCAATTGCTTTGAAATTTCGTTTGCATAAATGTTTTGACCAAATATACAAACGATTAAAATTTTCTTTTCAATGAATGAATAGTGAGATCCCCAGCGCATCCAGCAAATGTATATAAGAAACTATTCTTGAACTATTGTTAAAAATTTATGTTGCATTGCGATTTAGGATACCTTTCAACGACTGAAAAAATGCTTTGCCGCAGGATTCAAGCTCATTACGAGCAACTATCAGAAGTTTGAAAAAGATCGTATCATTTTATTGAAAGAGGCAAGTTGGGCAAGTCGGAGAATCGCTCGTCATATGAGTCGAAGCGATGCGGTGGTTAGAAGATGCTGGCAAGAATGGGTGGAGAATGGCAGATTTCAGCGTCATGATGGTAGCGGTCGACCTAGAGCCACAACAGATCGGGAGGACAGAGGGATTGTCAGATCAACTGTCACAGTGCCTGATTCATCGCTATCAATCATCAGACGTTCGACACACACACGAGTGTCCACCATGGCCATTCACAGACGGCTGATAGGGTGAAATCTACGCTTACGACCGTTACGTCACCTGCCACTCACGCCTGCACACTGTTGAGCCAGATTACAGTGGTGCTTGGCTCGATCAGGTTGGAATGATGCTGATTTCGGACGTATAGTCTTCAGCGACGAATCCGGCTTCCAAATGTGTCGCGACGATTATCGAAGACGTGTCTGGAGACGCCCAGAGCAGCGTGCCGATCCTGCTTTCACTAGTGCACGCCACACAGGCTCTCAAGCAAAATTTATGGTCTGGGGTGCCATTTCCCTTCATAGCCGGACCCCTTTGGTCGTCATTAGAGGCACCTTACAGCACAGTGGTACGTCGACGACATTTTGAAACCTGTTTTGCTATTGTTCCTTTTGCAGTACCCTGGCCTTATTTTTCATCAAGATAATGCCAGACCACATTTGGCACGTATTGCTATGAGCTGTCTTACAGCTTGTCAAACACTTCTTTGGCCAGCCAGATCTCTCTCCCATAGAGCATGCCTGGGATATGATGGGAAGGCGACTGCATCTACCAGGAAATGTTGATGACCTAGCCCAGGGATGGGCAAACGTTTTCAATCGCGGGCCCAAAATCGAAAGAAAAACGTTTGGCGGGCCAAGATAAATTTTTCTAAAATTTTAAAAACAATATTACAAGTATTACAATTTAAATATCTTAATAAGATGACTGAAATTGCGATTTCATTTTTAAAAGTTCCTTATATTGAGGTTCGAAGTGAGATGAACTGATTCTAAGGAACAAGGCTAAATGCTCATCTGTCAGCCTATTTCTGAAGTAATTCTTTCTAAGGTTCATAGTTGAAAACACTTGTTCACATGTATAAGATGAAGAAAACATAGCACTGATTATTCTGGGAGGATAATAATTTGGGAAAGTTACTTTCGATAATGATTTGTAAAACTCTAACTTTGGCATATTTAGATACAACTGCTTGAGATGATAGTTAGATTGCAACTCAATTAATTCACGCTGCAAACTTGACCTCACTGTTTCACAATTTAAGTTGAAAGGCGTGGTAAAAATATACGATTCTGTTTGAATGGTACTGAAATCTTGAAATCTGTGTTCGAATTCAAAATGCAGTTTCTTCAAGCCATCTTCATAATTCTTAAGCTTCTCTTAAGCTTCATGAGGGTATTGAATTTAACCTCGGGAAATAAGACAAGTCGTTCTTAGCTAGCTGCCCAGCAAACAGATTCAGTTTTAGTTTGTAAAAGCTTTGAGATGAGCCCAGATATCGCCTATAAATTGATTTTTCCCTTGCATCTTGATAGTCAAGTTGCTCATATGACAAGAATATCTGTGAAAAATGAAAGTCCAAAAGCCATTCTGCATCTTTTAACATTTCACACTCCGCAGAACACTGTTTATTATGGAAGAACGACACAGTGTCGTCTTTCAGCTGCCAAACTCGCTCAAAAACACATCCTGCACTAAGCCACCTTACTTTCGTGTAATACAGTACATCAAAGTATTCAGATAGCATGGACTGATGAAAATCTCGAAAGTGCCTGTGAGTAAGCCCACGAGATCGAATTGTATGTATAAGCTTCACGACTGCATCAGGCAAGGGTTTCATATTCAATGCAGATTTACACAGAGCATCTTTATGTATAACACAATGTAGAAAACCAACATTGTTCCCAGGACAGTTTTGATTAAAGAATCCAAGAAATCCAGACTTTTTTCCTGTCATATTTGGTGCTCCATCGGTATTAATATTACATATATTTGTTATAAGCACTTTCAAAGTTAAAATCCTTCCTGAAATTCACGAAAAACATCACATCCCGTTGTAGTTCCCTTTAAAGAACGCATGCACGTCAGTTCCTCGGTAGTGTCAAAATTCTCATCAACACCTCTTATAAATAATACTAGAGCAATATGATATATATTAGTGCTTTCATCCATGGCTATGGAGAAAAAATTAAACTGGCCAATCTTTAACTCTAATTTTGATGTCAAATTTATACACATAAAACATCATAAATTTGGGGCACGTATTGTTCAACGAACTCCCCATTACTGACAGCTTTGTTATTTTTAGCAATATTGTATGTTACAATGTAACTTGCAAGTGTAGCTGCTTCTTGGATTACGTTTACCTTCTTGAAAAAATTTTTGTCGGCACGATAAGTTTTTACAAAGACTTTCTGCATTTAATTTTCTTTCATATTCAGACATTGCTTCGTAATTGGAATTCTCCTGCTTAGATGTGAAATGACGGGAAATGTTATATTCTTTGAAGACTGCTACAGGTACATTGCAGATGAGACACACAGATTTAGCATTACAACTGTAAAAAATATTTCCAGGTCCATTCATCATTAAAAGCACGGCACTCTGAATCAACTTTACGTATTTTAGTAGCCATTTTGGGTTGAAATATTTTACGAATTATCCAAATAAGCCCTATCTAAGCTAAACTTTTAATAATATTCACTTTTAATAATATTATTGCTTGCGTATAGAAAGATTGCGGGCATATAGAATCATTATATTATTTACAATGATTCTATATGCCCGCAATATTTCTATACGCAAGCAATAATATTAGAACTCGCGCCAAAAGCAAAAACCGCTGGCTTGAGCTTAAAAAAATGCGCAGTCTGCCACATGTGAGGTCTAATTCACTTATATCGGATTACCATATGTCTGCTCCCCGAGAAAGAGATAACGCTTGTTGGCACCAATCTACAGCTATAACTAGCAAAGAACTTCCTCTTTTAACACTTTACCGATTGAAAGCTGTTTGTGCTTGCTTGCTTGCTATTTCCGTCGATTTATGTTGTGTAGAACAAAAATAGAGAAAGTAAAAAGATCATCAGTTCTTTGAAGAAAAGGGGAAAAAATAATATTTAAACAAAGCAGAAAGGAGATGGATATATAATATTATATATATATTTCTTTATTGCCTTAGATAATTAAATTCTATGGTAGATGATTCGTGGGGTTTGTTAAGCCGACATTGGAAAATTGTCAAAATCGGAACATGGGTTTAGACACTGGTGTGCAAAAATTAAGGACGAGTCGAAAAATTAGCATATCAGCTGAACGAAGAGGCAGAGCGGACAGAAAGACCAATCAGGAGATTAAGTAAGGTGATGTACGGTAGCACATGCGCAGATATGCAGGTAGACGTAATGGGGGAGTGTCTGAGTAGTATAAAGCATGTTGTCGGTGTAAGATCAGTATTTCTGGCAAAGAGATTGCACGCCGTATAGCAGTTAAAATCACACCGAGTTGCTGCCTCAGCGAGAAATGGCGAATAATCAATCTGTTAGACGACATCTGGATGCTTTTACCCGAGGTCGAATCATTGGGAAGTTGGAGGAAGGCCGCAGTGTGACAAGTGTGGCTGCAGAGTTCGGAATTGCTCACAGCATCGTTTCACGACTTTGGAGACAATTTCAAACTACAGGAACAGCTATCCGGGGGTTTAGTAGTGGTCGTCCACGAGGAACCACACCCGCAGATGACCGGTATATTGCCTTACAGGCCAGAAGAAACAGGCGGCAGACAGCGGGAGAAATCGCTAGACACACGACACAGGCGACTGGACGACCGATATCGCGTTTTACCGTGGCCAGAAGACTGCACGGTGGTGGTCTGTTTGCACGACGCCCTGTACGGTGTGTACCTCTAACGCCTGCCCATCGGAGAAGGCGTTCTCTGTGGTGCCGGGAACACCGGAATTGGAGAGACAATGAATGGGGACGAGTACTCTTTACAGATGAGAGCAGATTCAGTCTGAGTAGCGATTCTCATCGCATACTCATCTGGAGAGAGCGGGGAAGCCGCAATCATCCCTCGAACATCATTGAAAGGGACAGGTATGGAGGTGGCGGTGTTCTCGTTTGGGGAGGCATCATGCTTGGTAGTCGTACAGACCTTCACATCTTCGACGCAGGTTCAGTCAACGGGACCCGTTATTGTAACGAGATTCTTCTTCCATATGTGCGTCTTTTTAGAGGCGCTATGGGTCCGCAGTTCCTTTTCATGGACGACAATGCACCATGTCATCGCACAGTAGCTGCCGAACAGCTCTTAGAGAGTGAGGATATTGAACGTATGGATTGGCCGGCACGATCTCCGGATCTCAATCCCATCGAGCATGTATGGGATTTTCTAGGCAGACGCTTGGCAGCTCGTACCTTACCACCAGTAACGATCCGGAGCTTCGATTGGCGCTGCAAGACGAATGGGCAGCAATGCCTCAACAACTCATTGACACCCTCATTCTCAGCATGGGCAGACGCTGTGAAACCTGCCTAGCAGTCAGGGGAGATCATATCCCCTATTAAAAGACCGGATGTTTCTTGCTGGACACCCATCACAGGGATGTTTCGGCCTTCAGTCGCATTGCGCTCCATGCTACTTTTTCAATAAAGCTTCTTTTTATCCCTCTGATTTCTCTTTTAGTAAGTGTTGCTTACATTACTCATGTCCTTACGTATTGGGGATCTTACGGTATTAAATGTGTTGATTTGGAAAGCTTTTGTACAAAGTTATATTGAAAAAAACCGTCTCGTCCTTAATTTTTGCAAGGTACCACGCGTGGAATGACAGGCAGAGGGGGCACTTATGGTCTACTTGTAAATATATAAAATCATTTTGAAAAAATCATTTTATTTGTATTTATTAAAGCTTTGTCCTTCGAGGATCCTCGGGCGCGATTTTTTGTTTAGGTGTACTTCTGATAAAGATCCGTGTCTCTTTTGTTCAATCTCGTTTTAAAATTTATGCAAAATCAATGCTTGTTAAAGCATTCTCCTTTACTGAAACAAACATTAAACACACGCGGATTTTGTTTGGAAGTGTGGCACATCTAAATATGCATCTACTAAATCTGTCTAAAATTACACTATGATAACAAGCAGTGTTGATAAATTTCTTTTGTGGTTTATTTAACAAAAATTATACACGATTTTTAGTTTTATTTGTCAGATATTTAGTTTTAAGAATGCAAGAGATATTTGCTTTTTACATTTGTTTTACAAGTATAAAAAGCAAATATACTTTGCATGCTTAAAACTACACTCATGTCCATAAATTAAGGATAATTCGGAGTCACGCGGAAATCGAACTCTAAAATAAGTATATCACCTGTAAAATCACTACACACATCTTCAAGAATCATATGCAAATTTCAGGAAGTAACCAGATGACACCGATGGTACGTCACAATGACGAGAGTGTAAGAGAGTGATATATAAGGAATACAGGCAAAGAAGTAAAATTGTTCGCAGGCGCTATTTAAGCATTTCAGTGCAATAACCGAATAGTTATGACACAAAGGACGCATTTGGATGATTTTTACGAGGTAGAATTATCGGCCGTCTGGAATGTGGGCGTACCGAACTGGAAGTATCAGACGAACTTGGAATTGCCCAGAGTGTCATCTCCAGGCTTTGGCAACGAGTTCAAGATGTTGGTAATGTGGGTAGACGTTACAGCACAGGTCGCCCCAGAGTTACAACGCCGAATGAGAACTGGTATTTGGCAGTTACTGCCAAAAGAAACAGGCGGAGCAAAGCCTCAGACTTGTCTCGTCAGCTCTCTTCAGCCACTGGTATGACAATATCAAGGCAGACCGTGTACAGACTCTTAGGGCGGATTGGTCTATATGCTCGTAGGCCTGTCAGATGCGTTCCACTTACTGCAACTCACTGTCGGCTGCGGTTAGCCTGGAGTAGAGAACATGCATTGTGGACACCGCAACAGTGGGCTTGTGTGATGTTTTCCGACGAGTCCAGGTTTAGCTTGCAGTCTGATTCTCGCCGGACTTTCATATGGAGAGCTCCAGGTACCCGTTACCACCAAGAAAACATCACTGAACGACCGTTCCGGTTGGTGGTGTGCAGGAGTGCTCGTTTGGGGGTGGAATTATTCTGGGTTCCAGAACTGACCTGCATGTTCAAATTGGAACCATGACAAGCCAAATCTATCGGGACGTCATTCTGTAACAACATGTACGTTTGTTTCGGGGCGCCATGGGCGCACAATTTGTGTTTATGGATGACAACGCGCGTCCTCACCGTGCAAACATCGTAAGCAAATGCCTTCAGTCGGAGGATATCACCCGTATGGACTGGCCAGCATTCTCACCGGACTTGAATCCAGTAGATCACGTGTGGGACATGCTTGGCCGACGAGTTGCAGCCCGTCAACCTCCTCCTACATGTCTACCGGAACTTCGGAGAGCATTGCTTTTTGAGTGTGTAATATCCCCCAAGATAAGATCGATAATTTGATACTCAGCATGCCTAGGCGTTGTACGGTCTGTATTGCATCGTCTGGGAGACATACAATGTATTAACAATCATACCAACCATGTAATATTTGTTTTTTGTAAATAGTTTTTTTTGTAATTTGCTCCAGGGAGAAGAATCGCCAATTTTTTTAATAATATCAAACATATAGCATCTTTTTTTTTGTTCTTTACCTTTTGTTTAATAAATAAGCTTTACAAATAAGTCAAATTTGTTTTGCTTCTAACTCTTCCTTTGCCTGATTTTGCATTTATCCTTAATTTATGGACATGAGTGTAAATCCTTAACTACTTTAAGAAAAAAAATTTAAAAAAAAATATTTCACACGTTTTTGTAAATGATTTATTCACAGTACATTAGCAAAATTACTGAATGGTCCTATAGATCTTACTGCAGTTTCTTCTTCATTTAAACACTGTTACTGTAATTGATAACTTTTTTAACAGATATAAAGGATATATTAAATAATAATTTTGAAGAGTTATGAATTATAAGATTATTCAAAAGACTGAAATAAAAGTATTTTCAGTAACTCCTTCCTTGAAACAGACCGAAAGAACACTTGTAATTAATTTATGAGGGAAACCGATTAGAAATATTTAAGAATATGAAACAGAACATACTACGTTTTTATAAATCTGTTGTTACCATCAATTGATATTTTTAGTTAACAAATTTTACTTCTGTCCCAGATTAAAATATTTTTTCAAAGGCTTTATAATTTACAAACTCTTCATGCAAAATAAAAGAACTTAAAGAATTAATAATTAATTTGTATGCATAAATTCAAGCATCAGTAAAGAAAAAAAAGAAAAGAAAAATGCCTATTTATTTACCTTATTCAAAATTCGAGGCACGGTTATTATATCGAAAAGTTCACTGGAATAAATTTTTGGTACTGTTTCTTGTATCCGGTTAATTAATGCTTTGGGGAAGACAACTTTTCCAGCATCATCAGAACTTTCTTTATTAAGCTGGTATTTTCGCCAACTGTAATAAGAATTTAGAGGTGCTATATGATGACAGCGAACACTTTCCTCTGATAGGCCACAACAAAAAATGGCCAAAGTCTTTTCCGGCTCGGTCCATCCACAAATATTAAAAGCGTCCAGTGCTTTGCACTCCAAAAACTGTAAGAAATCAGGCGAGAAAAAGAGAATGTGAAGTCTAGATTTTGAATTAGTTTGCTGATGGAGAGGAGAAACATGCCACACAGCTAGTTCGTTCACACAAATAGCGTTAGCGGTAATATTCTTCAAACTGCGTATCAGTTCTTTGACTAGCCTTTCCGAATCCTTGGCAAAGAGAATTACTAAGTTGCAAGCCATGCTTGTTGAAATCATTTGCGTAGAATCTGGAAGGCAGAAAATATTTATTTATTTATATTGTTTACGTACGCACATAATGTGATTTAATCAATTGGATGAAGAAACAGTTTTGTATTTTTCTGTAAGATAAGTAAATATCTTTCTTGTTATATTTTGGAAAAAAATTTAGTATATCGTTTTTTTTCGATGTTTTGCCCTAAAATTAGAAATTTTAATTACGTAAGTTCTACTATTCAATATTATTGATCAAAGATAAATAACTAATTTCAAATTTTATAGCTCTAAATGTCCGGATACTACATGCCCAGAACTTTAGTTATCCGTATCAATTGTACTAGTTTTTTCTTCGAGCATAGCAAAAATAAAAACAAAATCATGTGTTAAATTTCAAGATCTGCATGAATAAGAATTAAATACGTTATTTATTTTAGATGGAACGGTAAGGACTTCTGTGTTTAAGCAAATAAAATATAATTTCATCATTTAATTTTTCCGCAATCTTAAAAACATCTAGGAAAATTTCTTCGGTGTGTTTTTGTTGCCAGTTCTTGGACTTACATTTCGGTAAAATAGCAAATACTGGCATCTCTCTCAGAAAAAGTATTTGTTAGAATCTTCATAAATAAACTATCTAGTGGAAAAAAATATACAACTACGTCTTGAAGTATTAAGCCTTTCCTTTATTAAATTAAAACATAAAACCGTATGTGGTGTTAATTCATGATGAAATAGTAGCATTGCAAAAATCTTTTCTGCTATTCAGTTTCTCCATTTTTAATAGCTCATTTTAAATATATTTTTTTTATTTTAAATATAATTTTTATATGCTATAGGTTTATTTTTTTGGGAGGGGGGACTAAATCTTAACCGAGTAGTCCGATCAATTCAGGTATTGAACTGAAATCTGCATACCAAGATTAGAGTGTAATGTCGTTTTAACTTTACGCTTCTTATGTTTGAAAATTTTTCTTAATATTTTTTTTTTTTTTTTTTAATTTTTCGAAACTTTAATGTTAAACTCCTGAAATTGTTATACTATAATCTAAAAACTTCAGATTATGTTATGAAGTTTCACTTATGTTTCGCTATTTAAGTAATTTGTCTATAGGGGGAAACCCATTTACCATTAATTTTTTCTTAATATTAAAAAATCTGGATACGCTGCACTTCTCGTTAGTCTTTATACAAGGTATCACAAAAGGTTATGTCCAAACGGCACATATAGCTGTGTCAGATCATGAGGAATCAGAATTACATAGGAACGGGGGCTCGAAAACGCGACTGCAATCCGACAGACGGCGATAAACGCTAGCAAAGGCCAGCAAAGTAGCTATAGGGAGAAGAAGTCAAGCTTCGACTGCACAGCAACGTCACGGAGAAAAACTGAGTCTAAAATGTGTCTTTTTTGACATCTTTACAGGCGTAAATTCAGGTTCCTTGAAATTCATGCACAGAGGTTCATGCTAGAGCCACAGAGGTTGTCAACAACATCGTAGAAGTCGTCAAGGCAAGCGCGGCCAGTCGGATCAATGGAAGCGCAAACGAACCAGCGTCGTGGAACGCGACCTAGGTGTTGATCGCTTCTCCATTATGCGATTATTGGGAAAGATCACTAACATACGTACCACAAACAACGGGTGCAGGGGCTAAGCGATACGGATTATCCCCAACGTGTGGCATGTTGGTATTTATAGGCAAGGATAGCAGACCCACAATTTCCATCACCGATATTGTTCACCGAAACTACCTTTCCCTGGAATGGTGTCCTCAACTGGCATAATATGCGTGTGTGGTCAGCTGTACATCCGCAAGTCGCATGGTCGCACAACCACCAACAACCTTTCAGTGTTAACATCTGGGCTCGAATTATTGGTGACATGTTGATCGTTCCATATGTAATGCCTCAGAGCCTCGACGGAGTTCGTAAGCTATTTTCTTGGAAGAAGTATTGCCCACGTTGTTAGTGGATGTTCCCGCAACGGCACGCCTCAACATGTGGCAACAAATTCTCCATTTGTTTACTGTATAATATGTAACTGATGTCTAATCAGACACTAAATAATACCTCCCAGATATATTCGCAAATGAAACTATTCTTTCCTTTTATCCTACTAATCATAATACACCTGGTAGAGAAACTTACTACAAATTATTTTTAAAATATTATGATAACAATAATAAAATTTACCAGGTAAATGATATTTGAATTAATTCTTTTTTAATCAGTCCTCATCAGAAGTGACTCAGAAGTACATTCATTTAGTCATTTTCACTTCTGATAAGATTAAGTTATTTTTAAAAATAAATATTTATTTCCCAGTCAACAATTAATTTATAACCCAGATACTTTTATAATTTGATAGCAGTCTTAAGTGATTTTTTGTTTTCTTGAATCATTTCTTTAGCATACCATTTCTACTTTTTCTCTTTTAGACGATAATAAGACAAATCTTGATTATTTCTGTTTGATGGGCTACAAATAGATATATTCTTGGTGAGATCCTATTATTTCAAAATTCTTTCCGTTAGACTAATACTATCACCAGTAGTAACATCTAGGCCCCAAAAAAATTTTCAAGGAAAAAAGAAAATCGTTGAATTTTTTTCAAAACGGGGGCTGAAACTTCTTTGCATATTTAAAGTGAAAAGTTAGATTTAGGGTTTATTCTTAGTTTATGAGTATCTAAAGCTCATGACAAATTTTTGGCTTAATATATTAATAATTATTTGGTACTTACTTATTATCCCATTACTTTTGATCCCATTTCCCATTTGGCGGAAATTTCGGGAAAGGTCGCCAATCGTTGCAGCGGAATTCTAAAGGAAGTGGTCATCTAAAGGAAGTGGAATTCTAAAGGAAGTGGAATTCTAAAGGAAGTCGCTAAATCGAATTAATGGCCAGTCGCAGGGATAATACATAAGTTCCAATTATTTTTACTTCCAGAAAAAATCTTTGTGCTAGTCCTACTTTTCGTGCAGTTAGTTTTGTCTGATAGTTGATGTCACAGTTATATAATCTATAAAAGTAAAAATTAATGAGTCTAAAAACATTCTCTTCCCACATAACTTTAATAAAGGACATAGAGTAAAAATCAGCTTGTTCTTGAATACAGTTTGCCACATATAATTCTTTCAAATCAGAAAATCGTATAGGAAACCATTTCTCAATTTATTTTGTATTTACAGCTTCTTGAATGATTATTATTATACTGCTTAGTGATAATTAAACGGAAAAGTTTCGCTTTTATGGAATATAGCAAATTATGAGAAAAATTTATGTTTTTTATTCTGACTCAATCATATTAACTTTTACACTCCCTTTTTTTCCCTTTTGAATTACTTATAAAATTCTGTTTATCAAAACCTCTAGCATTTTATGAAGAGAGATAAAAGGCATTTATGCATAAATACGCCTTATTAAAAGTAGTATTAATTGGCTTCTGAGTACTATTTCTATGAAAATTTTGTATACGTCTAAAATCGAAACTGTCGTTCATACCCGAATCACAGCTTGTAGGCAGATATTTAATAAAATATCACTGATTAAGAATTTCTAATTACTTTAACAAAGCTTTCTTCATTCTTACAAAAATTAGAAAAATTCATAACAGAAGTCTTTCTTTTCGTTTTCCTATAGTTTTTCCATCAAGCTAACTTATGCTTACTTTAATTTGGAACTTTGCTTCGGCTTCATTATATTATCTTTCGTTTTATGCTGTTTGTTCTCTTTACTGGAATAAATTTATATCGTTTTTGAAATGAAAATTGATTTTTAATCACTTAGAACACCACAGTTCTAAAGTCTTAAAACATTAAGACATTTTGCAATAACATTAACAAGCTGCTCAGCCACCCTTAGTTTGCTATATTTTTAAATTTTTATTGATTTAGAAATCTTTCCCTGTTATGCAAACTTTACTTCTGTTACTGTAAACTATCATCGAATGTAATTTTACTAAAAGAAGCAAATGAAAACAATTTCACCTTTTTTTTTTTTTTTTTTTTTACTATGTAGTAAACGTTTTTAGCCCATCGCAGTACTCATTTCACAAAATACGTGACCGTCTTATATTTATTTGTTCTGGCATATATGATAAAGCACTAATTGAATTAATTTAGTAATACTCTGGATCCCATTTCAGATCATTCTCTGTTGATATTATTATATTACATTAAAATGGTACTAAACAGTAAAAAAAAAAAATTACCTAAAATCATACATAATTAGAATTGTCCTTTTTATTTCTGGATTATTTAATAAATTCTAATTCCAGGATGCAATTGGTGAATATATCGTCTTTGTATTCATGTTTAATGTATATTAAGAATATTAAATCTCTGGAATATTAAAGGCAATGTCAAATGCGTTCTCAGGTGTTTATGTCTCATAATTTTCTAGTACCTGATAAACGGCGATAAATTTCCTTCTCCAGAATCATGAATTTTTTAACTGTTTTCCGTATCTGCGTATTATCATATACATTTCGGTATCTCGTGATCATTTTCAGAGAAAATATTGAACGTAATTCATCTTAAAATAAAATAATTAATCATTTGTATGATTAATTGATTATGTATTTAATAAGCTTTCTCAATTTTGAAGTAGCATTTTAATTTTAATAATTTTAATACTGATACGATGTTACAGAGGTATTTTTCTCTGTACCAATTAAAACTTTTGAAGAGCTTTTTGATACTGGAGACGTGAAAAATAAGCATTGCACTCGCTGGCATTCAAACTCCGGACTTCTCGAATTATTTGCTTCCAATTACGTCACGAATGTATGCAGAAAGAAGGGAGAAAATGCCTTATATACTCCCCCTTTTAAAGAGTGACTGAGGATGAAAGAACCCTGTCGCTAAATCCTGGTGGTTAAGAATTATCGTCCACCACCTTTTAGCTCGGGCCCCACTGCAGAGATTTTCAGAATTTTTTCGATGTTAAGAAACTGAAGAAATCCGGATTCGAACTCCGGACCAATCAAATACGCGTCAGCATACTTCCAGTTATACCAAGAAGGCATGCCGAAAGGAGGAAGAAAATACCTTATAATACAATCGACAAAAAAAAATCGGAAAACTTATATGCAGCCACTTAACCAATCAGCCTAATGTAACACTTTCTACAATTACCTGATGCGGTAGTGTACATATTCCGATAAGTCAAATTATATTTCATTCATCATGAGAAAAATCTTTGAATCTTTAGCTTTCTAACAGTGAAGTTCTGAAAGAAAACCTCAAGCACTTAGGATTATCTTAAGACTGGTTTGCTGCAGTAAAGCATGCAAAAGTTATCTGCCTCTTCTTATCTCCGGTGATTTTGAGTAATTTTAGGGGTCATTAAGCCCACCAGCAGCCGATAGGTAAAATTGCTAAACTAGCTGCATGAAAATTCTTGTGATTTTTACGATATGTAACATTAATACGAGCCAATTTCCTTTAAATTATTCTCCACAAATGCATTACACCTCTTCGTATGCTCTGCCATAATCGAAACAATCCCAGTTCTTACAGTTATTTTCGAAAATCCAATTAAATAAAGGCTGAAGTTTACTTAGAGCTTTTATCATCAATCTACATTTATAAAGGTATACAAGTAAAAGCTATAAAATAAAATTAAATTTGAAATTTCGAATGAATTTTCAATTGTAATTTTTTGTACATAATTTAAAATGCAAATTATTTCTCTCTAAAAAAAGTGGTAAAGAAATAATTTCTCGTCAACTCATTAGTTTAAAACTTCCATTTATTTCCTGAATTTTAAAACATTCCAATGTCTTAAACGTAGCTACACAAACATAAACTTTTTGATAATGAGTCTTAGAACTTATGATTCATACATTAATTGTCAAAAAAAAAAAAAAAAAAAAAAAGCTTTCATAGGCTTAGGGGAAAAAAATGTGCTTAGGGGAAAAAGTTAAATTTCTAAATATTAAATCAGAAATATTATTTCGCCATATAAAAAATGAAAACTCACCTTAAATAACAATGAAAGCGAGTTATTTCACCAATATGTGCTTATAGTTCTTTGCAAAACAGATATTAATGAAGCAAGATGCAAGAAAAACCAAATAAAACGTTCTAGAATAAATCATTTTCCATCTTCGTTGTTTCGATCACATATTCAGAGTGGGCGATACGATCGGCCAATGAAGATCCGGAAAACATTACTTCCGTATGATATTTCCACATTACGCAGAACGGAAGTTTCAGTTGCTTCATTCTGCTGGGCTAAACTGCAGAATCCCCATCACACACAGACAGAAACAAACTCACACACTTTCATATTTTATCAAGGAAATTCACTTTAAGTTTTTCAAGGTTTAATACTAACAACGTCACATCAAATACTAAACGGATGTTGAATGAAAATGTCAACAAGGTAAGACATTTAAAGCACAATGTTATGACCTTGAATGCAACACTTTGCGGTTCACATTTAATTAAATGCAATCAACTCTCACTACCTGAATTCCGCGGGTAGGGGAAAAAAATCATGATGATAAAGTTCTAATTGCTAATCAAATTTTAGAATGACAATACTACATATAAATTTAATAATACGGAACGCGCATTAATGAAAATATAAAATGTTACGGATGTTTAAGCATTTGACCTAAAAATGCAGATTTTATCAAGGTTTAAATTAAGTTATTTGTTGAAAATCTTATTAGAAACGTAAGTTACTAGAATATGTCTCAGCAAAAGTAATCCATTAAGAGAACCTCTTAGCTATAGCCTTTGCGAAACTGAATAATTTTCTATAAAACAGTAAACGAAGCAAATAATTCAGAAAAAAAAATTCAGAGCACTGTAAAAAATATACAGTGTCTTAAAAGCTTCTTCTGTTTTTTTTTTTTTTGTTTTTTTTTTTCCCTCCCCCTCCAACTGCTTTGTCATTGTCGTCAAATGGAGAACTTCGTCGCTAGGGGACTAAATCTTCGTCACGGAAACTAGTATAAGGATTTTATCTAAGTTTTCTAACGTTTTTAACTTTACGCCAAGATGGCTTACGAACATACCAGTCATAGTGAACTGAAGTAAGCAAATTGAAGACCTGTAAACACATTCACGGATGCGTAAATTTACTTTCCAGAATTGGCTACGTCTTAGACCTTGTCCGACAGGCTTGAATGAAGCTAATGGATTTTAAGTCTTACGATTATGACAGTTGTAATGTACGATGTTTAATCCTTTGTGGGAACGCTTTCTACAGACTTTGGATTAGTCACTTTATTTTCGAATAGACTCTGAATGTTTTATGCCTTAAAACACACAAAAATTGAACAAAGTAACTATCCCACCTGACGTAAAACGACAAAGCCTTTAAGCCACACGGAGTGGTTCTTACTGTTTCTTATAAAAAGGGGTAGAGATTCAGTTGGTTGTACATTAGTCTGACATAGGAATAGGAAATTTGAGAAAACAAGATTTCAAAAAAAAAAAATGCTTCGAAAATGCTATGGCAAAGAACATTTAAGGAGTACCTTCTCCTTAGTTCTTTGGTTATGAGGAAGTACATCGATTTAATACTGAAATGCAGAAAATTATTGTTTTCGACATACCGAAGATTTCGAAATATCGAGGTTCGATTGTATTTTAATTTAGCGGAGACACATAAAGAAGCTAATTATTACAAAAAAAAAAAAAAAAAAAAATAAATCACAGAGCTTAAAACTGCGCCAGAGCCCACTGGAGTCTGCCTCCGGTACTTCTCAGTTCTTGATAAATCGTGTTTCTAGCTAGAGTGCACCGAAAACCTAAACAGAAGGTAGCCATCGCTTCTATGAAACTGAACTACAGTTTCAAGAGAAAATTCTCTTGATCTCAAAGAATTTTATTTTGGTTAACAAGTAAATTTTAAAAATCGATTCTAACTTCCGAATGCATATCAGTCTTTCCTTGTGAAACAAATGTTTTGAAGGAAGTTGAGATTCTAAAGAAAGAAAAACCTCCACCCACACGTCAAAATCTTAATAAATTTACGAAAGCCTGTTTGGAAACGAGTAAATTTTTTGGTCCGGAAGCTATTAGAAGTGATTACCATGGTCTTGTCGCCGTATCCGCTGTTTTCGTATCAGCGGTTTTTATTCAGGATCGGAATCAGAAAGTTAAGACTCTTCTCCTTTTTGTGCCTGCACTTCTCCGTTAAAATGTTTCTGCTACACTCTTATGCTTTCCCCAGTATTCTTTCTAATTCTCATTCGTTTTCTTTTTCTATTTATTTGTTTTGGTTTTGTTGGTGTGCTAAAAAAAATGATTTTTCTTTCTATTATATCTTGAAATTGTACATTATATCGTTTACTCAGGGCCTACATGAAGCCAGAGCCCAGCTCAGCTATTTCTTAATTTTGGAATGAAACAGCTATTTCTGCTGGAGCCTCATATAAAATTCCGGGACTTTATTATTTGACCATTTATCATTCACTTATCACTTTACATTTCGTTGAATTTTCTTTAATAATTAATTTATTATTTCAAAATAAAATAACTAATATTTTATTAGTACTTTTATTTATTATTTTGTTCAGCTTTCCTGATGGCCTTCCATAGGGCTCTGGCATTTCTAATTTCAAATATTAAGTCCTGATAAATAATGAACAAGCAGACTTCATAACCCAAACATTTCTGTGCACAGTCCAATAAAGTTAAGAATTGCTTCAACCTCGTAAACTTCTTCTATTGTACCATTACCTTTACCTGTATAGGTTATTTCGAAATGCTTCAGTGACTGAATATCTTTCAAGTAAATGACAGTTTTATAATTGTCAACTTTGAAAAATGAATCAAATTATATCACAACAATTTGGTTACTTGACAGTTTTAGTAAAAACGTATGCAACTTGAATTTTTCCATCCATCCTCTATGGAGAACGTTTCAATCAGCAAGTTGTTCTTTACCCATTTAAAGACATTTTATTATATAAAATGTCAGTCTTTAATATGTAAAATGCTCCTGGAAAAAATATTGTAAGAAACTGTTTAACTTTAACCTGTTTACTCGTAGCGAAATCATGGATTTTGAAGATCATAAAAATATTTAATTGCATTGCGTAACTAATTAGGTTATTTCATTGACCCAAATTTTGTCATTTTTAAGACAATGTTAATTAAGTGCATACTTTTAAGAAAAATAAAGAAAATTAAAATTTTTCTGCAGGCCATTAGCTTAAAGAATTATATATCAACGGGAAAAATGTTTTCCAGAATTAAATCAAATAAAGAAAAAGAGATTTTTGCATATGATTAAAATTAACTGGAGTATCCTTGATTAAAATTTGTCGGTAACTGTGCACAAATGGAGAAAAATGATTAGATGAATATAATATATATAAACATAAATTTCTAATTCCTATTAGTAGAAATCTTAAAATCATTGATATTTTATGATGTGCTATATTTTTTAAATAATTCTATTTTCTCGAGGAAAGGAAAATAACACATATATATAAATTCAAAAGAAAGAATAGGATATCATATTGTAAGCTGAAAGTTAATTGTACCTATTATAAAACTAATCCCTGCTTAACCTTTCTGTGCTAACATTTGAACTGGAAACCAGAAATCTAAGAACTTAGAAAAAAGTTAAAAACTTGACTAAAGGCTTATTAATACTGCCTTGTAAATACAACTAAAAGTTCACAAAACTTATCCACCATTTCTTACGAGTCTTGGAAATACAAATGCTTAAATTTATGCAACAGAAAGAATAAATTTAATGTCTACATAACTTGGCTGCAACCGTCGACGACCTTTACGAATTAGCACTAGCAGCTTCAAATAAACACTCACGAATACCAGCTCAGCTGACAGTGAGAAGTTTACAACATAAATTGAATTCCTGGTCGAAATTCTCTCTCTAAATTATATGTTCGCTTGCTATCCAGATTCCATATGATTTGGATTCTGGTCAGGCTGATGGAAGAAATAAAAATTACAGGAAAGAATTAGGATAAAAATAACATGATAACTAAAATCTTATAGTAGCGACTATAAGCACAAATTATCAGTCTTGAGTAAAAGTTCTTCAATGATTATGCAAGTCAAAGAGAAAGACAATTGTGTTGTCCATTACTAATCTTTTCGCAAAAAATGCCTGCATTAACAATAACAATTGTTTAAGAAGTTCTAACTAATAAGCTGTCAACTTTCTTCAAAAATTTAACAACTTTTTTTAACAGTAGCTAATGCAGAGGTCCTTAGCTTAGCGCCTGCAGTCGCAATGATGCCATCAAATCCTGTGCGTGTGCTCATTGTTACATATAATTTTACTAATAATAATTGTAATAAAGTATCGAAAACAAGAAATTTCATCGAAAAAATGTTGAAATTAGGTACAAAATTTATAACTAAAAATTTTGTATTCTGTGAATGATATTGTTTCAAAATCATATATAGCAGATCAGAATTTTCAGACAACAATTCCTTCTCAAAAAAAGATAGGAAGTAAAAAACATTGTTCCTCTATTTTTTATGCGGATAATTATTTTCTAAACAACCATTTCAGAATCAATGTACGGATCTCGAATTCCCGATGAAGCTATCAGCCTACATCCAAACATAACAACAATCTCATGATGGAATGCTGTGTCAAAAATCAACTGAAAAAAAAATATTTATCAGTTAAATTCTGTTACTAGACATATTAAGTTTTACATGTTCTTGAATATTATACACACTGTGTTCAACTGTTTTAACTGCAAATTTGTGTCAAGAAAGATTTCTTGCTCTATTGCCAGTACATCTTTGATATGATACAGGATTTTACTTTACCAAAAACTTATCTAATAACACTTGTTTCTGTCTCCTTTTTAAGATGCCTCTAAAATGTGACACTGCATTGTAATTACATAAGTTCATGGTGTGCCCACACACTGCTTTATTAAGATGATTATCTTCAAAAAAAGTTCTCACTTCTTTTCCCTTTGCCAATGTATCTTTAATCTTACTGGAAAAAGAGAGCCTCATCTCCTGTTCCCTCCTTCCTTAATGAAAGTTCTTCTACCACCTCTTGCTGCTGCTCCTTGTGAATTTCTTTTAAGTTCATCAGTTGTAAGTTACTCCACTAAGTCATCCAAACCCATACTTTTCCCCAGAGATACCTTTTTGCACAACCAATTTGTGTGAATAAAGATTTTCTTCCATGGTACATTTGAAAAATAGATACAGAACAAAATTACAGGTGGATCCTAATTTAAGGTTTAAACTAAGTGAAATAAGACAGAAATAAAGATATTAATCTCTCTTAAACAGGCTCAAATTTCGCACTAAATTTTAGAATTAACGTATTAT